CATAAATAGTTAATTAAATTATAGTTCATATGTTATTTATTGTTAAATTATAGATAGTTTATTCCATGTTTATTAAACGTATTTTTAAAAATGTGTGAAGAAATTTGACATCTATCTAAATATGCTCTATAAAATCTTATCAATTGATATTTATGATAAAGATTCAAAAAATTAAAGCATTTTGTAGATGAGTTTGATTGCGTTCGAAATCATCATTTTTGTCATATACCATCGATATTTAGCTTATCGTCGATAAATTGTGAAACATTTAAAATTTGTCTGCCTTATTTTGCACACGACTTATGAACTGTTTACAGTGTTTGTTATCATAATGTTCCACACGGTGCATACACGGCATATATTTATTCAACAGCACCATAGTAATGTTAGTCAATTGTGAAACTGAATAAGTAGATAATTACAAACACTATTCAATATGTCTGATGGTAAGTTTTGTTTTATATATATATATATATATATCATTTTTTTGTGGAAGCTACCTTTACAGCATATATATTTAAATATTTGGGTATATGTATATTTAATATACTGATATAAGAATCAGGGTCCAATGTAAGAGGAGCGGAAAATTAAGGGTAACGGGTGGTTGAATGGAGAGAAGAATTACAGTGCTTAGCAGCCAGACAACAATAGCCCACAAAAAAGTGTGAATTTGAATTTACCAAACTTTTAAATAAAATAAAGACGTTAATATCGTTCGTATGCTAAGAATATGCTGAAGAAGGTAATCTTTGTTACCGAAAAGTGCTTCGGACAATTACAGTGTCGTGTTTTGACGTTGGGGTTTGAGGTATTTTGTTTGTTCTACAACAACCGCCAAAGTTTTTTCAATATTCATATTTCGCTAAGAATATAAATTAATAAATATTAAATGAGCATTAAATTCCTTTATGGTTTATAAATTTCTTAAGACCTTTTTTAAACATACTGTTTTAGCTAGCGCCTATAAATCAATATAATTTAAAGTACTGTGTGCTCCCTAGACAAAAATTTTCAGTCTCTCTCCAGTCTCTCAAAGTCTTTCAGAGTTTCTCTGCGTCTCTTACAGTCTCTCAGTTATTGCCTAGGTGTATTTATGGATCTCTCACAGTCTCTGTATGAGAGACTCGAACGAAAAAATTGTTAATTCAGGATTCGAGTCTCTCACAGAGAGACTGAATGAATAAAACTGATAAATTGAGAGACTCGAGTCTCTCGTAGAAAGACTGGGATCTCTGAAATATGTT